GAATGTCACCAGGACTGAAAGCAAACTCGAAAGGGAGTGAGGTTTTCACGGAGCTATTCAGCTTTATTCAATGCTTTGTGCTCGTACTACCCAAAAATTGCCTCTTGCAGAAACTCATTGATCTTGTTGGGGGTTGGCAAACCTTTTCTGTAAACAGCCAGATAGTAAACATCTTAGTCTTTGTGAACCCTATGGCTGTTGTGTTGTGAAAGCAGCCATAGGCAATATGTAAACTAATGGGCGTGGCTGTGTTCCAATAAAACTTTATTTACCAAAACAGTCAGTGGGCTGGATTTGGCCCATGGGTGTAATTTGACAGCTATTGATCCACCTCGGTTTCCAAACTCCAGGATCGTCTGCCCCAAGTCTTCCTTGCAGGCACACAGTAGGCGCATTATTTGCTGAGTGTCTGCTCACATGCCAGCGGGGGGGTGTGCAATTGGTTGGCATCTCAACACTCCTGGAATACTCCCTCGTCCTGGTTTTNGTCCAGCTCATCTGCAGGTCGAGCTTGGTTGGACTCAATACAAGCTCAGCAACCAGGACTCCCCCAACCCCACTACTTACAGGAGCTCTGACTGTAACGACCAGGGAGCGGGTTTGGCTGGCGTATGGTGCTGGCAGGCTGTGGGTTTTGAGAAAATTGTGATACTTTTTGGTACTTTGCAAAGTTCATGGAAAAATGGAATTAAAAGATAGTCTGAATCTTTTCATTTTTCAAAGACTCCTCATAAATACACACACAGACATACACGCACATACTCACATGTATACATGTGCACATGTATATAACACATAAACACATACACTCACATGCATGCACGTGTGCACACATACAAGGGGTCTTCCAAAAGTTCATTGAAAGACTCGTATTATCTTTTAATTTCATTTTTCCACAAACTTTTTGAAGAACCCTGATACATCTCTACATGTGCATACATGCACGTATGTATATACATACATATCTGCATGGTACCTACATACATGTGTGTATGTGTACTATATAATTTTTATTAACAGTAGAGGTTGCATTCAAATCATCACGCAGTGCCCAGTCATCGTGCACTTAGAAGTACAGATTAGAGAAATGCACCAGGGGAAATCAGCAGGTGTCATCTATCAGGAAACATTTCTAAGAGTAACTGGAAACATTCTTTATAATTAGTGTAATTATGTGTCAGTGTTTGTATGCCATATTCTGAATGGGCCCAAGACTATTGCATGTTCAAAAGAACATGCTTGTTCTACCAGGGTAACTGGTAATTGTTGCTGACAGATTTTCTCCAGAGCAGCGGTGCATCTTCCAGGCAGAAGCCTGCACAGGTCTGGCATTGATTTTCACCAGATTTTGTTATTACATTTGTCTCACAGCTTTAAAATAGCAGCAAATATGTGCAATTTATTTAAACAACACTACAAGAAATTAATGCCAGGCAAGCTTATCCTAAGCAAATGAAGATAAAGCAAAAAAAGATTTTTTAAAAAAGATTTAAAAATAAAAAGGCTGTATGAAAACTCTTTAAAATTCTGAGTCTGAAATCCAGAGGGCCCCGGTAAGCTTCTGCTGGTGGGGAAGCATCACCAGGTGACACAGACCAGCTGGCATCTGCCTCACCACAGCAGGGAGACACGGAGGGCCAGAACTCCCCCACCCCTGAGGTCGTGCTTGTGGTGGCCACGGCTCCCCGCTGTCCTGTCCTGAAAGAGATGTTTGCTAAGTCTGGCTGACTGCCCTCATGCAGACATGCTCAGGAACAAAAACTAACCCCCTCCCTTCTCTGAGGCAGATCCTAGGGACAGGTGAGCCTAACGACCTGTGCTCTGAGTGACCCTGCGGTGAGGTACAAGTACGCGGTGAGGTACTTGTACATTTGTACAGCGATGTTCTCTGCCTGCAGCTTGTCTGTAGCTTGGCGAGCTCCTTAAACACAGATTGCCGGCACCACCCCAGAGTTAGGAGGTCCGGGTGGGATCCAAGAATTTGCATTTCTAACGACTTCCTCAGGGTGCTGACTCCGCTGGTCCTGGGAGCAGCCTGGGAATTCAGAGGCCTATCTCCCCAGTTATCAGCATATTGAAGACATCCTGGGTGCAGGGAAACCTCACTCAGACCCCCTTTGCCATTGGTTCTCACGTCTTCCTTAGGAATATCGATTTCTGCCCATGGCACACCTAAAGTGGGGACTGGCAAAGGGGATGGGACTTCCCCGGCAGAGAGACCCAGAAGTGAAGGGTAGAACTCGTCTGGGTCCTCTGGCCTTGGGGTCAGACTCCTCGCATTCAAATTCTCCCTGTGCCTAATGAGCTGTGTGACCCTCAGGATGTCCTCATTTCCTCCCTAGCAAAGGGGGAATGAGGTTGCTTCCCCCTGAGTTGGTGATAGGGAGGATTCAGGGAGACCGCGTGGAACGGCATTTGTCTTGGAGTCTGGAACCTGAGTGTCCACTGCATGGTCACAGCTGTTGCTGTTTCTGTTTACAATTTTGGTGTTATTTCAAGGCACTTCAAGCAGGGGGATTAATTTGGTCTTTCTCTTCAAAGCTTAGGCTTCATTAGCCCAAACTGTCAGGTCTCCAAGGTGAGGAGGGGAGAAAGTCAGACCAGACTCCCCAAGGGTGCTGTTTGTCTGGGGCCTGGTCTTAGAGGATGGGTGGGACTTAAGAGGAAGGTCCCGTGTGCTCACTCCGGACCTTACGCTCAATATCTACAAGGCATCGGCTACTCGTCTGGAAACCAGTTGTCTGTACTCCAGGTTGCAGGGGAGCATGTGTGGCCAGCACTTTCCTAAAAGCAGTTCCTCGAAGGTCTCCAAGGACCCAGAGAAGACCCATTCCTGGTCATCAGTCGGGGGGGCTGGCCGAAGTACCGGTCTGACTTGAGCTGAAGATGGTGTAATGCCATATTTCCATACAATTCAGGGCCACCTGGGCTGGTTTACACCTTACACTGCTCCTTGCTGACAGAGGCTGGAAGTGACCTGTGGAAGCCTTTGGGTTTTTAATTGCTACAAATGCTTGAACGCAGGAGCTCAGCGTGAGACAGCTGAACCCTGCTGGAAGGAAGTCCCAGAGGGGATCCCTCGCTGGAGTGTAGCTTGTCCAGATGGATTTTTGCACTGATGTAGATTTATGTTTGGGCATTTGGGGGCAGATACACACATTGTATTTATTTATTTTTGCATCAAGTAGGCAGTTGTGTCTATGTGTGTTTAACTTATTTCTACGCAGCCATTTTTGCAAAAGGGACTGGGGAGGTGTTCTGTCTCTAGAGGGCAAGGCTGAGACCCCCTGGTGTTCTCACCTATGTCTGGAGCTCAGCGGAGGGTGGGGACCCACCATGACTGAGATCAGTTGCCCCCTGACCAGCCTTGTCCTCCTGCCTTGGGCTGTCCTGGTCCAAGGTCCATTTCTGCTGTGTGAATGCTCATGTAATGTCATCTCTGAGATTAGAGTGAAGTGAACATGGACCATGAAGACTATGCCGAGAGCACCATATGGAGCATCTTGAATAAACATGACATGACATATGTACAGATGTCATGTATCTACATGAAGTTTCGCTGACTCCTTCAACCATAAGAAGCCATGTGCAATATAACATTTAGAAAATACAGGAAGGTAAAAGGAACAAGGAGAAATAAAATAACATAGAACTCGCTGGTCACCAGAGAAAACCAGCATTTACACACTGGTGCATTTCCTTCCAACTCTTCCTCCATCCTTTAAAAATAATCAGAGCTTGTGTCATGTATGTACCTCAGTGCTGTTTCTCTTGCTCATATTTTATGGGCATTTCTTCGTGTCAGAGTCATAAAAGAGTAACTTTTAATGATAATAATATCTCAAGACATAAACGTAGGGTAATGCATTTAACTGCTATTTACTATCAGACATCCGATTTTTATGGTATTTTTACCATTATCAAAACATCTGCAGTGAACATCTTTATACAAAGATTTTTGTCCACACAGTTTCCATGGGACAGATTTCCAGCTGTGGAGTTTTTAGGTCAAAGGGGAGGCTCATTTTTGAGGCTCTTGCTAGTCACGGGCGAGCTGGTGACGGAGGACTGTTCTGACCACAGTGCCCCACTGCCGGGAGCCACCTCAGCATCAGCACACCAGTGCTGTATCCCATCGCTCACCACCGGGAGTGGCTTGACATTTTTTCAGTGTCATCTAATTTTATTCCCATAGCAACCCTCTAAATTCAGTGCTATTGTTACCATCCCCATTTCATCAAAGAAGAAACGGGGATTTAAGAGACTTTGCTTCATGTCATGTGAATCTTTGGATGCATGTAAATAAAGGTGCCAGGTCTGTCTAACACCAAATCCCACACCCTCAACCATCACCCTCTGCTAACTCACAACACGCTCCTCGGTGTTGAGGATGAATCTTGTTTAGTTTTGTCAATTGATACATGAAAAGGAAATATTACTTTAATTTGCATTATTTGATTACTGAAAGATGTGAGCATTTTTTGCAAGTGCATTAATCATTTATATTTATTTGACCGTGAATTATCTATTCCTGTCCTTTCCTTGTTATGAAAAAAGATTCAATTTTTTCTTATTAATTTATAAGAGCTCTTTATATATGACTATTAACCCTTTGTCAGATTTGTTGTAAATCATGTTTTCCAAAGTTGCCAGTTGCTTTTTGAGCATGTTTTCATAAACAGGAGTTTTAAATTAAAGTGTGCTAGTCTTTTCCTTTTTGATTTCTTCTGTTGTTTTGGGTGTAAAAAGCCCTTACCTACACTATTGGTTAAATAGTCAACTATATTTTCTTCTTTTCTTCTTCTTTCTTCTTTTCTTTTTCTCCCATTTAATTTGTTGTCCATCTCATCATATGGGGGTCTCCCACTCGATTTTTTTTTCCTAACACTTACCCTCTTTCCTCAACTTTGTTCAGTCTTTCACTGTCAATCTTGGGTAGTACAGAATCTCTTGACACATGCCTTTGTCTTTAGTGCAAACTTAACCAGACTTCTTTGACCCTTCTCTCCACAGAATGACACGATGCTGCCGTGGCCCCAGCATCAGCGCTCCAGTGGGTTGAGGCGGCAGAAGCGGGACTGGGTCATTCCACCCATCAACGTGCCAGAGAATTCCCGCGGACCCTTCCCACAGCAGCTTGTGAGGGTGAGTCGAGGCCCCTCCTGTGCAATAGGGAAGGTCTCAGCTCCAGCCCCAGCCTATTGCAAAACAAGGGGCAGGTTCTGCATTTGGTGTCCAAGGTCAAGATTTTGCCTTTTCAGTAATGAGATAAGTGGTACACAGAGCAGAGAAAAATTCTGCACCAGTGTTGCGTCCTCCAAGGCGACGGGTGATTTTTCTCAGTTACTTTCAAACAACTGCTCTGGTGCATGGAAGCAGGTGGCGGTGGGGATGCAGATCGTGGCCTTTGACCTCTGACACCTTTCTTTGGTCTGGTTGTTGACGTTTTGAAGGGTGGAATGACGGTGTGTCTGCGATGGTGACCATCACGCTGAAAAGCCGGAAGGGTGCAATCCACTGGTTCTTTAGTGTCACTGTGTTCCCAACAGCCACCACAGGTTGCTTTTCCTACAGAAAGAATCTATTTTGCAAATTTGTATTTCTGTAATCGAGAACATCAACTAGCATTTTGTTCTTCCCTTTGAAGAAAATTGCAACCCAATCTGAGCAATAATTTGATAGAATGATAGTGAGGATTCCATTAAATAGTTCCCATCCATTGTGGAAAAGCCTCCCCCACTCTTTGGAAATGGGGGTCCCTGGAGTATTATTAAGGGGTCGTTTTCACCCTTCGTGCTGAGGAGCCTCTGTTTTGTTCTCGTTCCCATCGAGGCGGGAAGCCAGGTTGTGTGTCTAGGATGCAGAGAGGAACAGAGGGAAGCAGCAGCCATGTGGGCCCATCCGAGTCTTCATGTCCCCAGCGCCAGCCATGAGGAGCTCACTGACCTAGCCAGCAAGGAGCAGGGACGGTGTGTTGTTCAGAGCAGAGCCCCTGGCTTAGTGAATGCAGTGTGCGAGGACACACACACACCCCCAATGTGACTCGGTTGCAGAGGGTCATCCTGGCTTCTCTGCACAGAGCTGACCCTACCGTCTCAGCATCCTCAGGTGGGGTGTTGGGCTTTCCTGAGCCAGCACGCCCCTGGGGTTGCCTGGCTGGGCTGCAGATTTCACTGTGACATGTGGCTCAGGACTTGAGGGAGCTAACAAGGATAGAAACCCCATCCTGGGGGTAGATTCCTGGGACCCACATCTTCTGCCCCTCCCTTGCAGTGCCCCGGTGGCGCTGACGACAGTTCTGTGCCCCACCACAGTGCTTACCAGCTCCGCACTTCCATGGAACCCACTCTCCCTGGCTATCACTCGTGTGGCTATTCACTTAAAATTTTTCTCCAAGGGATTCATTTTTAAGACTTTATATCAGACTGTGATGGGAACACTGGTTTTGTTTGCTGCAATTGAAGTGGGCTGTGAAGACAGCATAAGGCAAAGGAAACAACTGTGAGAGTCCACATCAGAGCCTGGGGCAGCCGTCGATCTGTCGCAGGGGAGCTGATGTGCAAGGATCAGAGTGTGTTTGAGATACCCTGGGATCCAACAGACACATGGTCTTTGAATGTCACCAGGACTGAAAGCAAACTCGAAAGGGAGTGAGGTTTTCACGGAGCTATTCAGCTTTATTCAATGCTTTGTGCTCGTACTACCCAAAAATTGCCTCTTGCAGAAACTCATTGATCTTGTTGGGGGTTGGCAAACCTTTTCTGTAAACAGCCAGATAGTAAACATCTTAGTCTTTGTGAACCCTATGGCTGTTGTGTTGTGAAAGCAGCCATAGGCAATATGTAAACTAATGGGCGTGGCTGTGTTCCAATAAAACTTTATTTACCAAAACAGTCAGTGGGCTGGATTTGGCCCATGAGTGTAATTTGACAGCTATTGATCCAACTCAGTTTCCAAACTCCAGGATTGTCTGCCCCAAGTCTTCCTTGCAGGCACACAATAGGCGCATTATTTGCTGAGTGTCTGCTCACATGCCAGCGGGGGGGGTGTGCAATTGGTTGGCATCTCAACACTCCTGGAATACTCCCTCGTCCTGGTTTTCAGAGTTTCTCAGGCTAATGATCTAGGACAGGCCCGTGGGACTTTCTTCTTCTGCTCCCATCTGTAGAAAAGCATGTAAAAGATACCCAAAAAAAGGAGGTCATTGTGGACAGAGCTTTTATCCGAGAGGATTCCCAGGCCTCTTGATCTGTGGGGCTCATTGATCCTGCCGTGTTTGTCTTCTGCGGGACAATGGAGAAGACACTTCTGTGCTCTCTGCCTGACTGATGTCCCGTGCTTTCAGCGGCTGAGGAAGTCAGGGCTGGGGACAGAGCTAGGGAAAGGGCCAGCTTCTCTCACACCCTCAGGGGCTTGTTCCCCAGAGAGGCAAAGTTGTGCTGTTGAACCTTTCTTCTCAAGACATCACAGTGAGAGCTGGGCTTGCTACACCTCTGAATAGGGGACCTGGTTTCCCAATCTGAACAGCTACACAGCAGGGGATTGGCCCCTCCCCAGTGAAGACAAAGCTTAGAAAATGTGGCGAAGAGAGCAGCAGGCAGCGGGACTCTCACACCCCTGCAGACACAGGCTCCTGAAGACTCTCTTTGCCGCTGACATTTCTAAACTCGAAATGTGGGGGAAGGAAATGTGAATTTGGCTGTAGGTGTCAGAATGAGAAGAGCTGCAATTTCTACGGTTCTGGGAAACTATCACTAGCATCTTTTAGACTCACTGAGGCAGCAGTTGCTTCTGCCTTAGAGTCCGTGGCACTGCTGTGGTTTGGAGCAAATTTGTCCTGTGCTCCTCGGAGTATACCTAACTGTCCAGCTGCCCTTTGGGGAGGGCTGCCTGCATGCTGGAATGTCCACTCTGAAACAGGTAGGTGCATGTTAGGGTTGGCTAGCTGCTATAAGGAGTATTCCCAACATTTCAGAAACCTAACACAACAGAAGTTTGCTCCTTGTGAAGGCTGGTTGGTTGTGGGGAGAGGGGACTCTGAGCTACAGCCATTCAGTGGTGCAGGGCAAGGGTCTCGGGATTGGCTAGGCTCAGAAGTGGCTGCTCAGTTCCACCTGCATGCCACTGGCCAAGCCCAGTCACGTGGCCAAATCTAATTGCAAGGGACGCCAGGAACTATAGACCAACTCCGTGCCTAGCAGGAGAGGGATATAAATTTGGTAAATGGCTGCTCTCTGCCGTGGCAGGTTTCTAGAGATGAGATCAGCCGTGGCAGGTTTCTAGAGATGAGATCAGCTTGTGTCCTTTCCTCTCTAATGACCCATTACCCCAAGGAGCCCTGAGCCACTGGGTAGCTCTGGGTGAGCAATTCAAATCTAATTTTTCAGCCCTTCCCAGAGCCTGGTCTTTCTTTAGCCCTCGACCCTCCTTTATTCTCTCCATACCATGTACTGTTATCTGACTTTATGCTCGTTATCTACTCCTCTGCTTACTTAGTATCTAAGGGGAGGCTTCCTGAAGGCACAGACCTGACCTCTACCCCTGGTGTTGTAAAAAGCCCCCAGCACACAGTAGGCCCAATCCTTGCTGAAGGAATGAATGAGTGTGTGAGTGCGTGGTTGAAGCGATCTCAGTGGTGAGCATTGTGTGGGGCATGCATCAGCTCACACACCAAAATAGCACAGCACGTGGGCACTGGCAAGCATCTCTGCGCTGCTTGTCCTGGCTTTCAGAGTCCCTCAGAGTGACGACATAGCAGCGCATATTGGGCTTCTCCCTCCGCTTCCATCTGAAGACAGGCATCCAAGCAGAGGAGGGTTCTTGGGGGGAAATTGATCTTTCACAAATGGAAAATGGAATCTCCATGGTGGCTTCTGTAAAAGATTTGTCTTTGCCAAATGGACTCCAAGTCATTATGTAAGAACTCAGCATGTGTATGCACACACCACCCCACTTCATACACATATACATTTGCACGTACACATACATGAACACATGCACACACCACCTTACTTCATACACACATATACCCATGCACATACCATACTTCATACACACACACACGTACACATGTACATGCACACACCACCCCAGTTCATACACACACATACGTGTGCACACATGCACACACTGCCCCAGTTCATACACACACATACGTGTGCACACATGCACACACCACCCCACTTCATACACACACATACGTGTGCACACATGCACACACCACCCCACTTCACACATACACATACATATGCATGCACACACACCACCTCACTTCATGCATACACATACATATGCACAAATGTGTATGTGCACACATGCACACACCATCCTACTTCACATGTGCATACACTTGTATGTGCACACGCACACACACACACACACACACACACACACACACACAAAACCATACTCTTGTTTGCTGCCCCGCCATTAGATTCTTATCCAGCACAGACACAGTTTGGGGCGTGCTTTTCTGCCCTGTGTACGTCTACGGGACGTGATTTCCTGTCGGTGTTCTAGGGGCTGTTCCTGAAAGAAACCCAGGTCAGCACAGGACTGTGGTGTGGTGGGAGTGGGAGCAGAGCGTGGGGCGCGGGTGCGGCGGGTCAGCTGCAGCTCTGCACACATCACACGCTGCATTCTGATAAGTTACACTATGTGGGAAAATGGGTGGGTGAGAAGGAGGCAGAATGTTCTTCCCAAAGAACCTCCATGCGTGACAGGCTGTCTCCTGGAAGAAATACCATGTCTCTTCATAAGCACTAGCTCCACTGTGCAGGGACAAATAGGTAACCCACGTGTGGAGAGGAAAGCACTGGAAGGGGCCGGAGTGGCTATGAGCCCAAGGCTGGTGGAGCTGTGAGCGTCCGAGGCAAAATGGAAATGCTGCTGGTGGCCACACGCTGGCACGAGACTGTGGCACAACTGAGCGCTGAGCCAGGAGGNTCATTATGTAAGAACTCAGCATGTGTATGCACACACCACCCCACTTCATACACATATACATATGCACGTACACATACATGAACACATGCACACACCACCTTACTTCATACACACATATACCCATGCACACACGCACATACCATACTTCATACACACACACATGTACACATGTACATGCACACACCACCCCAGTTCATACA